TCCCGTTTGCAGTCGCTCTCTCACAGACGTGCTGTCGCCTTCCTCTGTCTCTTCTACAAATACTTTCACGGTAACTGCTCCGACGAGATACTTTCGATAGTTCCCAAACTGCATGAATTTAAGCGTGCTACTAGGCTGACATCTCAGTCCCACCCTTTCACTGTCGAAACGGTTAAATGTAGTCGTCTCTTCTACTCCAATAGCTTAATGTCTTGCACTTCTCGTCTGTGGAACTCCCTTCCTCTTACTTGCTCCCCTGATAGCTATACTCTTCAAATATTCAAATGCAATGTCACGCGACATCTTCCAATGCCTTCATCTAATTCCCCGTCCTTATCTTCATTCTTTTCTCTATCACGCCTCTTTACTCTTGCTCCCACTCTCTGTAACCCCTAGCTTTCTAGGGTCACTCCCGCCTTGCTTAGGGTGAAATGCCTAATAAAAAAATAAAAAAAAAAAACAAAAAAAAACTATCTTTCCCAAAATCTTCAATTTGTAGCCCTCTCGCTTGAGTGGCTCTTGAGCCTGGTATTCGGTGAGCAGTAGTAGAAATATAATAATAAATTAAAGTATGTATAGCGTGAAGCATCCAATTCTTTATATTCTATAAATATCAACGTCTTAGAAATTCTAGATAGAAGGAGTCTTTGAAATAAAGGTCTTTTACTTACGGTTTGTCTTTTAAACGTTTTTTTTCCTTTTCTGGTTCTCGAGGTCTCTTCGATGATTGTGAAGGAAATTCGATTGTTTATGAAAAGAAGGCAAAGAACAAAGCTATGGCGTTCATTCATGGTGTGCGTGGCGTCGTTATCATCATATCTGCTCTCGGTGTTGAGTGGTGTGTACGCAATCAGTGGAGCATAGCAAGTGAATACAAAGAGAAAAACTAAATTGTTAAAGCAATGCATTTGCTAATAACGCTGTCGTCTTGGTAGTGCTCGAGATAACTAAACAGATATAAGACGTGAAGTGTATGCCTGAGAAAGAGGGGAAAAGTGCCGGAAGTAGAGGAAAAAGGGTCGCCGGCAATGGAAATCTGCACCCGCACAACACACGACACACACACATGTACATAGGCATACGCGCATACAAACACACACGCACATGCACACAAACACGAAAACTCAAACACACACTTGTGCCCACACAACGCAAACAGAGCAGAGGCGGTGCACAAAATAGATCACCAACAAGAAGAAATTCCCCCAAATTTTTGTACTCATATGTTCCGATTTTACGAAGTTTTTTTTCTTCTTTTCGTACTGGAAAAGGCCCGGGGCCACTCGAGGTAGAGGGTTACGTTAGGAGGCAATTTGTGCGGATAAAAGTGGAACATAGCGGTTAGCCCTAGTGTTGAACAGGTTAAGATTGTAGTAAACGGGGAAACATCCTCTTGGGAGTCGGTTCCACAGAGCAGTGGCTCGCGGGAAGAAGCTGTTAGAGTGGAACTTACTTCTCACCGATGGGATACTGAGGGAATGTAGGTAGTTTGTTAGTACGTAAGCGGCATGGCGTGTTTTTACTGTGAGGGCGTGCCTCGGCGGGACCAGGGAATGTAGTTTGGCTGAGCACTTTCCGTGTCGATCCAATTTTCAGAATCCAACGTTTATTTATATAGAATAATCATACATCATATATAATATATCGTATATCATATCTAAAACTTACTATATCTATAGGAGAAAAATGTTCACTATTAGGAATAGAGCATTTGTAGATAGGTTGCTTGAATCGTGAACATGACAGTGGTATTCAGTGTTGATTACTACATTCATCCCCCCACTCTCTTTATATACATATGTATGAAAAGGCACGGTGGAGTAATGTATAGCGGCTCGGATTGAGGAATCGGAGAGCCGAGTTCAAAGTCCAGTCGAATCCATTACATTCACTTACATGCTAATATCCTTGGGAAAGGTATGAATCCTCTTCTCCTTCCCAGCTATGGGTAAATAGCAGGACAGATTGGGTTTTATAGACCTGGATGGCAACCGGTCTACCGCAGAAAGAAATGGCAACCTACTGCGGGAAAAAATCTGCTTCGTCAGTCATGTATTGAAAGATACATGGTCGCCTAAGCGTGTATCACGCATAGCACATAACTGACTGATGCATATATAAATATAAATATAAAATATTGCGTGATAATTGCTGGTGGTAAAAAAAAGTGCTCAGTATAAAATAACAGAGCTAAAATTTATACTATTAAAATAGTTGTTCCAAACGGAGCGGAAAAATGTTATTAAAATTTTTTTTATTAATTGAGAGCCGGGTTCGACTTTCGCCCGAAGCCATTACATTCACTTACTTAATAACCTTGGGAAATGTATTAATCCACTTCTTCTCCCTCAAGCTATGAGTAAATAGCAGGATAGATTGGGTTCTATAGCCTTGGATAGCAACTGGTGTAGGAGAAAGACAACTCTGAATTCAGGACCTGCGTAGCGTCGTTTGGGGACCTTGTGGCACGTAGTGCACCAGGTCTCTGAATTCGGCCCTTGAAAAAGTTTGGATGGTCCTGCACAAAACCTTCACCATTATAATCAAATCATATGTGCTGGTGTCTGGGCTGTCGGTCTCTAGGAACTGAGCTGCTTTGACCCTCATACGTCGAATTTATATATATATATATATATATATATATATATATATATATATATAAAAAAATATAGTCTTAAGGTGTGCTATATTTATGGGATAAAGTGCTCAATATCAGAGATAGAGCGTGTATAAATATAAAAGTGAACACAGTCTGTTTCATGCTATATGCAATCGTGGCCTGACGATTGCATATAGCATGAAACAGACTGTCGCCTCTAAGTGTTGACTTTTATATTCACTTTTATATATATATATATATATATATATAT